ATTTACAGTGACATATTAGGTATATCACTTACTATAAAAGAAAAGTTATTAATTACCTGAGTATTTCTTAGCACCAAGATACTGGTGTCAATTATGATAAAACATATCTAGAAACAAGGATTATGCTTTACCTCAGCTACTTTGATATAGTGGACTTGCCCTGTTTAGAATTTGGAACTGTCAATTGTTTTAAGGGGTTTCTATATTGATCAGCCAAATTCAGACTGTATGGATTCGCTGGCTAACATGACCCAGCAATTTTTGTCATAAAATTCAAAGTAAAGCATAACTAAATCTAGATATTTATATATCATAATATGCAAACAAATTTTGAAAGTTTTGACCAAGGATGTACATGTATCCCTTATTACTTCATATATAAATCTTGAATGTTTTTCTCACCAAGAGAATATCTTCTTTCAACTGCTGCTGACTGGCATCCTTTACTGTTTTCTTTCAGCAGAACATGATTCATTTAGAATGAGTATTCCTGCGGCTAAGTCAGCCATAAATCAACTAGCTGTTCTTGATCCCTATCTTAGAAACCCTGACAGACACACAGATAACCTTACCATGAACAGCCCTTTTTGGCATTTCTGTTTTCTTTCTATTTTATCTCCCAATACCATATGTTCAATAAAGTAGTTTTACATGTTAATGCCACTCAAACATTTTGGCAGTGCAAAGAAAAGAGGAGAATTTATGAGGCCTAAATGTAAACATATCACAACCAGAGTAAAACTGTAATATATGCTTCCATGTTTCCACACAAAATTCATCAAACCATCCTCAGGAGAGCTGTTACATGGCTAACTAAAACATGTAAAAATGTTCCTACAGACATTTCATGAAGGCGAAAAAATTTGGTAACCCAAAACCAAAGACAGTTCCTATTAAAAAATATTCAAGTTACTTTAACATATTTTGGTTACCCAAATTTTAATGATAAGACAAGCAGATTAAAGAAAATAGAAGATTCATAAGCATGAACAATGAAAATGGTAAGAGCAAAATGGAAGATTCATAGATTTGAACAATTAAAATAGAAGATTCTAGACTTGACTAATTAAAATGGAAGATTCATAGACTTGACTAATTAAAATGGAAGATTCATAGACTTGAACAATTAAAATGGAAGATTCATAGACTTGGACAATTAAAATGGAAGATTCATAGACTTGGACAATTAAAATGGAAGATTCATAGACTTGAACAATTAAAATGGAAGATACATAGACTTGGACAATTAAAATTGAAGTTTCATAGACTTGAACAATTAAAATAGAAGATTCATAGACTTGGACAATTACAATGGAAGATTCATAGACTTGGACAATTACAATGGAAGATTTCATAGATTTGGACAATTAAAATGGAAGATTCATAGACTTGGACGATTAAAATGGAAGATTCATAGACTTGAACGAAGAAAATGAGACAATTCATAGATTTTGACAAGAAACATGGGAATATTCCAAACATGGACAAAGAAAATTGTCCAAAAAAAAATCATTTAAATAAATCCTATAAAATTAAATTGCCAGGATGGAACAGATCATTCTTATTTTACCACTCAACCTAAATCTTTGTTTCTAGTCACATGAAAGAACATTATATCAAGTCAAATATTAATAAAAATACATGAAAATTTAAACAAAGTATAGTAGGAGATGCAAGTATCATTTTCATCAGAAAACAAAATGGTAAAGATATCACATTTTGTGTTCTTCAATCTTGACAGACTGCCATAATTATGTAACCTGTCAAATGGTGGAGAAATATTCCAAAAATAAAACACCAAAATATAAATGTTATCAAAAGATGGGAAAGCTGTTAAGTCATCAGTCGGAGTATATGGTAATAACATTATGTTCGGACAAAGTTTAAACAACCTTATACAAACTAACATGATACAAATGTTTTGACATCTGACATCTGACAATGGACATCATGTTTTTATGATGATCACTGATAAAGAGTAGGCATAATCTGCATAGTGTCTGTGACCTTAACTGACCTAAGTACCTGATAAAATATGTCTTATTCTTATGCCAGCTATAACACCAACAAATGCTTCAACTTCCCTAATGGTGTATATATTATATTGACCTGAAACAATGTTGTGAACTCAAATCCCATTTTTTCATATAAACTAAAATAGAAAGATTCTAAACTCTATGAGATTTATTACAATTTCACAGATAAATTTTTAATTATTATGTTTTTATCATCGGCCAATTATAAAATATTGATCAACTGTATGAAATGATTGTTATCGGCAAAAGAAATAATCACATAAATACTGATGTACTCTTGTAAAGAATTAAGGACAATAAAGTAAGAAGTAACCTTAGATGTGATATCGGATAAGCAGTGTCAAAACACAAAACATATGCCATACCCTTTACAATTTATGATTGAGCCAGTCTACTTGCTCCATTGTCCGCACTGGTGACACACGTCAATTACCAACTGTCAGCGTAATTATTTACGTGCCATTTTGAAATCGGACACGATTATTGATGTGTACAGAATTTCAAACTGTTTTTCTCTATTTGTCAATAAACAAAAGGAAATTGCTGATAAATTAAAAAGAAGCAGTGTTTTTGTTGTGTAGAATTAATCTTGTGAAGGTTGTAATATTGCAAATTAATAAACAAATTTCCTCAATCAATTTACGAATAAAAAGTGTATATTTTGCTAAATCAAACTACGGCTGGCCCGGCCTAAACTGCTGAGTAGTACAGATCTCGGATAAGTTATGACTTACGACCTCATGCAGGGAAAACAACGAGCAAATTCAATGATATATTCTGATGATTTAAATTCCATTCATAACTACTGTGATGATGACTTTAGTTATGTATTCAGGTAACAAATTCAGTCATGTCTTCTGGTGATTGAAATTTCATTCATGTAGTCCAGTGATAATTCAGTAAGGTAATCAGGTGATTTAAATTCAATCATCTATTTGTGTGTTCAAGTGTATTAAATCATCTGCATTAGTGATGAATTTAATCATGTATTCTGGTAAACAACTTAATCATGTATTTCGCTTACAAATTCGTAACAAATCTAATTAATTAATTTGTCTTCCAGTTATAAATTCAAAAAAAAAATTCATGTTATGAATTTAATCATATAAATTCAATGTTATATGAATTTAATCATATAATTCAATCATGTAACCACATAACAAACTCAATCATGTATTCAGCTACAGAGCGGCAGCAAAAGGTTCTTTAAATAACAATAAAAGTTCTTGTTTTTCAGTACACTACAGTATGATATAATAATGAAAAGATGTCAAGCTTTTTTTTTAAAAAAAAACTAATTTATTTAAGTGCAAAAAAAACTCCAAAACAAACTCACAAATGTCAAAGATTGTATTTCTTGCAGAAACTAAACAAATTGTAATAGCTTAATTAATTGTGTTGTCAATATCAAACAAAGATACTTTTTATGACATTGCAGAATGTCAAATTGCCTTATGACATTTTATGAAAGCTGTCTAACTTTTCAAATTAAGTTTTAATACAGAGCAAATAACTTTTATATCATTTACAATAAGAATGTTAATTGAAAATTTGATCTCCCCGCCTACCAGTACCCCAGGGTTCCGAGTCAAGGTACAAAATCCATTCACATCGTTAAATTGCATGACTCTATGACAAATAACTAGGCAGAAAAGATTTCACCGGACCATGAAACTCACATAGGGTCTATTTCCTGATTCACAATGGAGCACATTGTGGACCGCTGAACACAACCGCCATTTTGTTCACTTAACGTATTCATACACGGATTCAAAATCAACCTTTCGGAGACCTACCTGGATGTCAAGTATCAAATTGCAACATTATAAATTGTTATATCAGATTTAAATTATTAATTGCCATTATATATGATTTTTATGGCACAACTGTTCGAGCCTGCAAAATTCTTTTCTTCATTGTGAAGTCTACTGAATATACTAATGGTGAATAATTCAAAATTAATGTGCTAAGCTCAGATTGTGTTAACACTTTATTGGCCATTTAGGAGAAAATAAGATGAAATTTCAGCCGGCTATCTAAAATATGCAGAAGTTTATGACAGGCATCATGGTAAAAGCAATCATTTTGTACAGCAATGAATGATTTACAGAACATTTTTCCGAGCCCTATTTAAATTCAAGATATAAGTTTACAGGGTAAAAGAAATGTGCAGCCGCATTGCCACTGGCTGGTTGCAAGCTGTTTTTTTACACAATTATCAAGTCCTGCTTACTCCGAAAAATATTTCTTCCATTCATTTCTTCAATAATTAGTCAATTCCTTTCAGTGAATCAAACAGCTTCCACTATACATTACATAGAACCTTCTAAAATTAATGCAAAATTAGCTTAAATGGTGAACATAGTTTATTATTTTTCTCACTTTTCTAATCATGTTCTATTATCTATCCTAGAGAAGACTTTTACATTATGTAAAAATTTAACATAAAAGGCACTTTGCTACCTAATGATCACATTAGTATTAGAAATATAAGGTTTCTTGTAAAATCATTATCATTCAAACACAAATAAATTTCTATAACTTTGGTTTTGTCACATGTACCGAACACTTAGCTAGCCTAGTCAGCACTTCTATTCTCAATTATGTAGAAAAACTTACATTAATTGTTACATTCAATAGGATACCGTTTAAATTCTCAATAAAAGGACTAAGAAATTAGTCTTGGGTAATTTTCATTTAAATTCTGTTGTTCAATACCACAATAGGAATACTGAAGCTTCTAGTGAAAAAGAACTAATGTAATGGTATTTTCTAATCAAATCAATGTCCTCTGATCCTTTGATTGAATTGAAAATGAAAGATTTTGATACAAAGGACTTGTTGTGGTAACCCCTTTCTGTACAACTTGGGTTTGTCTGAGAGAAGATCATTTTGTTGTCTATAATGCCTGGAACAAGATGAGTTTACAAAGATCAAACAACATCAAGAAGGCTACTGACTTACCTCTCCATGCGGTAATGATTTTACCCAACCTCGAGCTTTCAACATCCGCCATATTGTCTCAACAGCCTGAAATGTATATGACAGTTTTACAGTTAAAAATATATAGAAAATACATAAGTAGCTTAAAATATATGATATATACAGGCGTAACACTCTGGTCTTATATCCTCAAATATATAACATGTATTAGTAAATACAGGTGTGACCATAATATTACAGTTTAAAATATAAAGAAATACAAGTGTGACACTATCTTCTAACCTAAAATAGGCATGTTCATATCTTTTGTCCCTACAGTTTTAGGTTAATAAACACAATTTGAATCTACGGGGGAAACTTTATCTATATTGATGTGATTTTGAGATATTAATGCCTTTAGATAATTATAATAGTATAAAAGACGATGAGCCTGCAGGGTTTGAGCCTGGCTCTATATTGTCACATCTATCTCTTTAAGTATATCGTTTTCATAAAGTCATCAAACTTTCACCCCTCACTTCAAATCAATTTTAATAGTGCAGCAACACTTTGACACTAAACAAAATCCAAATGAGCGGCAACCTTTGCACAATGATTTTATTCATTGCCACAAATTTCACCATATCATTCAATTCAATATAGAAACGGCTATTTACAAGACATGAGCGCTCACCCATTTCAGGTTGGTTTGCCTCTTAAAATACCGCTAATTAAGTATGAGTAAAATGCAGTTTGTTCCAAATTAAAGTTGCCAACCAGGTATTCAAGTTCCCCTACCGTGTCACCACTAATCTGACCCTATATACACCATTCACGCACCAATGGTTTTACAATAGCTGCCTTTTTTTAGCAGATTAATGGAGAATCACTGAATGATCATCCCTCACGGCAGTCGATCACTTTTTATTTGTATAGATTTTAATTGGTACATGCTAGGTTTATTGATGCCACAATGATGTCACACAGAGCTTTAATTCCTAGCTGAATTTCTCTATAAAAGTATTTGCGAGAGAGTTTCATATCATGCTGCGATTTAATTTGATCAAAATTATTCATCATAATTTTGATTGCGTAAAATTATGCCTCGGCACAACTTTTACCTCGGTACAAAAAATTCGGCCTATTGATGAAAACAGACTTCTGGTGATTTCTGAGCCCCATACACAGATACAAAAACTATCAAATAACATGGAATGAAAGTTATAGACATTATAAAGTTATAATATCCCAGCATGCTGTTCAATTAATATTTCTTAAATCACTTCGACATGTCTTGACTGACAGATGAAGTCTTGGAAAAGAAACGACATTCCTCCAAATGTAATAAATATCATCAGCTAAAGACAAGATCAAAGACGACAAAACTACTTTGATATGACACTTCAACCAAATATTCTCATGCATTTCATATCATTTTTATTTCTCTTAAAATGAAAAATTGCTAATCAATTTGGACATTGACAAAAATGGACATAGAAGGGAATGGCTAATGACTTTCAGCTGACATTAAATAATGCCACAAAACTTAACTTGAAAATATTTTCCGCATTATTTTTATAAAATTTATTAAGCAATAACTTGGACCATGTGCTATTGGTTATTACATTCATACAGAAATAACATCTTTAATGATTATATCACATAAAACATAACTGTTTACTCAAATATTTTAAATTGGTCACGTAAATCAAACTTTTGCTATATGATTAAAATTCAGTTTCAAAGCTCTCCCAAAAACAAAAAGTTTTGATTTTTTTTTCACTTAAATCAGTTTTATAGAATGATTACTTGCAAAAGGGAAAGATTTTGTCTCTGAAGAGATTTTGATGAATTGAGGCTCGGGGTATGATGGTTGAATTGGAGGAAACAATATAAAGGTTCTTTTGAAACACTTTTCAATACTTGTTTAATATACTTCAAGTTTATATATATTGTCGGGTGCCTTTAATTTGTCCCTGTCCTTGTGTCAACACCCTTACTGTGTATGTCAGAAAGTCCCAAAGATATTCATTAAGAATGATAGCAGTTGGATATTTCTAAACATTACTGCCAAATTTCTTTATCATAGAATGCACAGATCATTAGAAAATACAGTGCATCAAACTGTAAAATGCTCGAGGATATATATAAACAACAAATACACAGACTTCATTTTTAGCCTAGAAGAAACTGTAAATGGAGTCGATTGGTTGGTAAACACCGGTCCAACTAACTGGTTAACTAACCAGTAATTATAAATTTCCCCCAAGTGACTGACTAATTATCCCATCAGCAATTAGTGACAAATGACAAAAAACAATGACACAATGAAACTCCACCTCATCTAAGGATCAAACTTGGTTTACAAATCTGATCCTCTCCCTAAAGAGCTTAGCGGGTGGACTTTAAAATTGGGGGAGGGAGCTGAAAAGGGGAGGAGTTTAACACACACAAATCAGCCAATTAAAATGAGAAATAAAACATTATTTCTATGTATCACTGACATAAGTTTACAGGGGGAAAAAAATAAAATAGCAAAGCTGTAATAAGGTACCAATTAACAAATTACAATTTTCTAATAAAACTTCATATTCTTTGACTTAGGATTGTAAAATTTAATACAGACAAAAGACAAAACGTTATCAATACAGCTATAAAGCCGGCAGTCTGTCACATAGACAATGATAATGCCACCTAGTACGATATTTTTTTTTAATTAACATCCCTTTTACTTCTACTTTTATTGAACTAATGTAAATTTCATCAATATCAATTTAAATTCCAGTATCAGCTGCCATGTCGACATGTCAAGCTCTTTGCTAATGAAGTACTGTAAAATATGCATACTATAACTAAGGGGATTTCTTTCCAACCATCTGCAATTTATTAATACTATTTAAAAGAATAAATCTATTAACTTGCTGCAGTTGTCTAACTAGCTGTCCATGTATTTCCAATTTGTATCAAACAATCATCTACCATCAAATGATGTCCCAACTGTTCTTTGTAAAACAGTTACCTGTATATAGCATCAACACAAAGCCCCAGACAAATCAGTATTTAGACTTTGGCACACTTAAATGACGAAATCATTTCACAAATAATTAATTAGTACTATATCTAAGAATCAACAGGATTCATAAGTTACGGTCTTAAGCCATACTCTTGATAAATTACTCTCTTTGTCAGTGGTCAGCCAGCTTAGCTCGATAGGGAAAACATCAGGTTAGTAATCCAGAGTCTGCCAGTTTGATCCTCTCACCCTTTAGCATAATACATTAAAGCATAAGCAAGATACAGTGCTGACAAACAAATTTTGATATATTTTTATTTGACCTGTCACTTTTTGTGACCTTGACCATTATGTGGAGACCTGGGTTTTGTGCACAACACACCACCCCATCAAGGTGAACATTTGTACCAAATTATTTTGTAATCCTTCAGAGATGAGCAAGATTGAGACCAGACAAGTCTAGACAGATGGACGCACACACACACATTGAACTAAATGCCAAAAGTAAAAACTAAGTTGAGCAAGCAGGCTCAACAAAAATGAGTCATACGAACGGTCAAATTATGAGGGTTTGTTTGCAATTTGGAATTTTGAGACTCTAAAATTTGGGAGAAGAAGTTTCAGCCATTGGGAATGTTTCATTTACCAGATCCATATCAGGGGAAAAACAAGGAATTATATTATTATATGGCAAGAAAATGCTTTTTTATGCAGAATTTTAGAAATCAAATTTACAAAACCAATCAACGAGATAAAAATCTAAAACATCAAACAACAAAAACACCCCTACATTCCTTCTGATTTTTCAAACTGATAAAAAAGCAATCTTTGAGGGCACTTTCCCTATTTTTTGTTAAAAACAAATGAAAATTCACTGTCCAATAATAATAAAACAGCCTAGAATAGAATATCACTGACACATAATCAAATCAGAAATAAATTGACCAATTTCAAATTGTAAAATAGCAAAAACAAACCTTCAAAAACTGAAGATCTGCAACTTTGATATTTTTTATGATTTTCATGATAAACAATTATTAGCTGCCATTTTTTATCAAATGATGCCTTTAAAAACGCATAAAATTCGTAACAAATGTTAACTCTTACAATTATTTACATTGGCAATCTATTTATTTCGAGACATAACTTGCACAAATATGATTTGATAATGATTATGTCTCAATAGCCAAGATCTTCCATAGATTATTTCTGTATTTCCAGTTTTAAGTATAACTCAAATCTTTAGAGAATTCCAGATTCTTTGTTCTTTTTATGATCAATATCTTTTACATTGTTTTTTTTTTTTTTCAAAATATTAAATAAAAAATTATTGTTGCCCTGATTTATTCAAAAGTAATTTTATTAAATAAAATCTTGTGATGGAAATATAAATAGCACAATAAAGCTTCCAAGTGTTCTCAATTTATATGGTGTCAACAGAGTACAACAACAATAAAGGGAGACAATTCTGGCATTTCCTGCATGACATTTTGATACATTCAGAAGAAGACTGTATTTTAGTTGAGTGCACAAACTATCTTTATGACTTAACAACTGCATTAAAGAATCCATTCTTGGTTTAGTGGTCTAGTGTTGTTACTTTCGCTAACAAGCAGGTGGTAGCGAGTTCAAATCTCAGCCACTGGGGGATTTTCTTTGTGATGTATTTGCATCTTTCTGCTATGAACCAAAAATGTTCGTACCAACTGTTCTTTATTATCCTAGTCTAATCAACCTGCAGAATTTCTTTAATAGACTTGTATTATTATAATTGGAAATGTACGTTTACAGATGAAAATATGGTCGTCCAAAAGTAAAGAGCTTGTGGTCAGCCTACACATCCATGTTCTATCCTGGTGGCAAAGTCTACTCATATATGGTTTCATTATATGTCATGGGCTTATATCTCATGCATGTGACAATATAGATATCAGATATACATTGTACATGTATATAGTAGGGAAATGCAATGGGAAGTAAGAAGTGGCGAATTTAACTATTTCGTGTTGACCTATAAAATGATTTACCTTAACATTAATTTGGTTTGCGATGTTAAAGCAGCATGCCTCCAGATTCATGCTAATTTTCATGAAAATTTTGAAAATGTATTTAAAAGTAAAATATTGTGAAGTGAACAAAGAAAGTATTTTACATATTGCAAGCAGCACTTTCAATATACATAAATTTCTGGGGAAAAAAATCAAAATATGCAAAAATTGCTCTTACTGCATTAGTCACGCAGTAGAAATATGGTGATAAAAACTGCAAAATCAGTCATTAAACGCATATAACATGCAAATTATTACTTGAATCTTGAATCTAGTTTTCTGAAAATCTTAGTACAATTTTCTCAAGTTTGATTTTTTTCTAAATATTTTGGCTCATATGGAGACATGCTTTAATTTTTCCTTTTTCCGTTATAAACCATAATAATTTTATTTTCTTTGTTTAAACAATAAGTTTGCAGGAATAAAGCATGAATACAATGTGTCAAGTTGAATGTATTTCTTAAACAAGAGGGCCATGATGGCCCTGAGGTCGCTCACCTGTATTTAGGCCCCCGGAGCGGGGCTAGTTTAAACCCCAGGGCTTTTATTTGAACAAACTTGGAAGACACTCATTAGAAGATGTTTCATGATGTTAAGTTTTTACTACACACATATAATGAAAAACAATGACCTCCCCCCCCCCCCCCCCCCACCTTTGGCAGGGCCAATTTTAACCCAAGGGCTTTTGTTTGAACAAACTTGGTAGACACCCACAAAAAGATGTTTCCTGCAATCTTACCTCTAGCTCATTGGGTTTTTTTAAAAGAAGATTTTTAAGTTTTTGCCATACACATATAAGAAAAATCAATGACCCCCAGGGCGGGGCCAATTTTGACCCCAGGGTTTTTATTTGAACAAACTTTGTAGACACTCACTAGAAGATGTTTCATGCTTAATATCTAAACTCTAGCTATTTGGGTTCTTTAAAAGAAGATTTTTTAAGTTTTTACTATATGCATATAGGGAAAATCAATGACCCCCTGGGGCAGGGCCAATTTTGACCCCAGGGCTTTTATTTGAACAAACTTGGTAGACACTTATTAGAAGATGTTTCATGCTAAATATCTTAGCTCTAGCTCTATGGGTTCTTTAAAAGAAGATTTTTTAAGTTTTTACTATATGCATATATGGAAAATTAATGACCCCCTGGGACCACAGGTGCTAGTTGCATTGATTTGACCTAAAATGTGTTTGACCTTGTTATTTATACAATAAAATATCAATATATTAAAAAAAAAAAAATTAAAAAAAAAAATTTTTTTCACTGTTATATTATTATTGACAAGGTATGCAACATTCAGGTACGAAAATTATGGGTACGCCGGTTATCTGTGTTAAAATTTTTCACCGGGCGGTAATATCGTCGGATTTTTGCATGGAATCAATGCACAATATATTTTTCTATTACAATTTACTATTTACAGATCCCCAATTAACCGCTAGTTAATGTTATAAAGCCCGAAAGTAAGAAATCACCCAGGTCCGAAAGATGAGACCGTCATGACATGTACATTGTAAGCTGGTATTTACGCTTGAAATACATCAACAAAGAGATCAAACGGGTCGAACACACATGCAAACAACTGGATTTTACATACTTTTAAATGGTTTTATCCTCCACGAGTGGCACTAAGTCCTATGTGCCCGTATTTTAAGAAAAATTCTACATGTATAAGGTAATTCCTAAATCGGAAGTGTTCTCCCGCAACACGTGCTTGGTTCCCTGTTCCGCTCTTTGTCAATGTATGTGAAACGGAAGCCGGAGAATACTTCCGGTAGGAATTACCTTCTAAAAATATCGTCTACATGTAGGATATTTCTTTAAATACAGGCTCATAGGACTAAGTTCGACTCGTGGAGGATAAAACCATTTAAAAGTATGTAAAATCCAGTTGTTTGCATGTGTGTTCGACCCGTTTGATCTCTTTGTTGATGTATTTCAAGCGTAAATACCAGCTTACAATGTACATGTCATGACGGTCTCATCTTTCGGACCTGGGTGATTTCTTTATAACATTAACTAGCGGTTAATTGGGGATCTGTAAATAGTAAATTGTAATAGAAAAATATATTGTGCATTGATTCCATGCAAAAATCTGACGATATTACCGCCCGGTGAAAAATTTTAACACAGATAACCGGCGTACCCATAATTTTCGTACCTGAATGTTGCATACCTTGTCAATAATAATATAACAGTGAAAAAAAAAATTTTTTTTTTTTTTTTTTTAATATATTGATATTTTATTGTATAAATAACAAGGTCAAACACATTTTAGGTCAAATCAATGCAACTAGCACCTGTGCCTGGGACGGGGCCAATTTTGACCCCAGGGCTTTTATTTGAACAAACTTGGTAGACACTTATTAGAAGATGTTTCATGCTAAATATCTTAGCTCTAGCTCTATGGGTTCTTTACAAGAAGATTTTTTAAGTTTTTACTATATGCATATAGGGAAAATCAATGACCCCCGGGGCGGGGCCAATTTTGACCCCAGGGCTTTTATTTGAACAAACTTTGTAGACACTCACTAGAAGATGTTTCATGCTTAATACCTAAACTCTAGCTCTTTGGGTTCTTTAAAAGAAGATTTTTTAAGTTTTTACTATATGCATATAGGGAAAATCAATGACCCCCTGGGGCGGGGCCAATTTTGACCCCAGGGCTTTTATTTGAACAAACTTGGTAAACACTTACTAGATGATGTTTCATGCTAAATATCTTAGCTCTAGCTCCATTGGTTCTTTAAAAGAAGAATTTTTAAGGTTTTACTATATGTATATAGGGAAAATCAATGACCCCCTGGGGCGGGGCCAATTTTGACCCCAGGGCTTTTATTTGAACAAACTTGGTAGACACTTACTAGATGATGTTTCATGCTAAATATCTTAGCTCTAGCTCCATTGGTTCTTTAAAAGAAGAATTTTTAAGTTTTCACTATATGTATATAGGGAAAATCAATGACCCCCTGGGGCGGGGCCAATTTTGACCCCAGGGCTTTTATTTGAACAAAATTGGTAGACACTTACTAGAAGATGTTTCATGCCAAATATGCAAGCTCTAGCTCTTTAGGTTTTTTAAAAGAAGATATTTAAAGTTTTTTCTTTCGGTTGCCATGGCAACCAGAGTTCTGCATGGAATTAAATTCTTTGAACAATTTTTAAAGGTGATCACCAAAGGAACATTCCTGTGAAGTTTGGATGAAATTGGCTTAGTGGTTTATGAAGAGATGTCATTTAAAGTAAAAGTTTAAGGAAGGACGACGGAAGGACGACGGACGGACATACCAACTTTTGATGTTTATGAGGCAAATCAGCTCATAAACACCACCTGGACCAAGGTCCATAACACCACCTGGACCAATGTCCACAAGCAAAATAAGCTCATAAAAACAAAAAAATAGCTCTTAATTTGAATTTTATGAGTTTTTGTTCTTTATTTAACTACGGAATGAAGCTCATAATAATCAAATGTTTGCTCGGACGGACGCCGGACGAAAAGCGATCACAAAAGCTCACCCTGTCACTTTGTGACAGGTGAGCTAAAAAACAAAACAATTGTATGTGTACATACTTTGGGACATAATCTTTATAATTTTATGATTTTAACTGCTTGACAATAAACAGCAGTCAGTGTACAGACATTTTATACAAATCTATTCAGATCAACAACATACATAAATGTTGTTGGCCTTCAGGAGAGTCTGCCTCTCAACCAAGGAAATATAGGTTCAAGCCCTCTAATAGGGTCATGATCATGTTCCCTAATATAATGACATCATTACTGGTTAGTTCCTGAAAGTGTACCAAAGATTTTTCTGAAATAAGCCATAAGCCCAAGCTTGCCCAGAAGCCGAACCTCCCGCAGCTTAGATATAAATAATATAACAAGTAAAGATTGATGCCCATCTATATACAAGTATAGGAGGTGTAAAAATATACTTACAACATTTGCCATATACACTGCTAGTAAACCACGTCTGAAAATAATACAAAATAATACAAGTTACATGAATTACATTTTTTAATTATAATTACATTGTATTTATGCAACAGAAAATTAAAATTACATTTTGTATTGACTCTTCAAAAAAGAATATTAAATATTAAAATATATTAAATATTATTAAATATATAAAGTTTTCCATTCATTTATAGTTAAAATTGGACAATTCTAGAATCATGAAAAATTTCTTAGCACATGTTTTTCCTATAAATGTTCTTACAGGAGCAACTAAAATTGTTTTATAAATTACATATCAATTAATATCTCATGTTGTTATTTTTATTCAAAGAATGACTAAATTCTTTAAATTGTCTTCATTTTCAAATATTTCAATATTGCATTAAATTGTATCCACTGTAATTGACAAAAATACGACAAACAAATAAAATTGACAATAAAATCTGTCACCATTATTGACTAATAAAATTGCAGCCCCATCCAATTGTTTCACAGCAGTAATTATTGTATCAAAACACACAGTATAACAGTAATTATCTCGAAAATACAATAAACAGCATATCCCCTTTCTACAATTCCCATTCAGAAAATATGAAAATCAAAAATTGGTATGCAACCGGATAAATTAATTGAAACAAAATACTGTATAGTTCTGGTTCATGCGACTAAACAGTTTAACGATTTTAAAATTGCACAGTGTAGGACAATATAATAATGTTAGTGCAATTAGTCGGCTCATCTCCCTACATCTGAACATAATCAGTGAGGACATTTTACCAGTCCAATATATAATCTATCCATAATAAAAGCCAGTCTATAAAATTAGAATAACCACATAGAATGTAATATCAGCCGAGACTTTCTGGCTACTTAATTAGAAGGCATTCTGTGGCTACTTAATTAGTAATCTAATTCAAAACCCATTAAATTGTTGTGTGTTTTTTACCCCAGCATTATTTCTCCCAGTTAAACCATTCAACTGTAGACAAAATTACTTATATTGTTTCCATCATAATGGAATAAAACTGTGTTTTACTTAAAATAACAGACAAATAACTATATAAAACAATATAAAACAAGAAATACATAACATGATTTTCTAAAACAAAATTTGGTTTGCCATTCATGGATTTTAAAGAATGTCTTGGCATTGTAAGTGGATGTTTTTTTGGCCATCTTAAATCAGTTTTACTTCCTGTAAAATTTACAGCAGAGAACTATATATAAGTAAAATTTTCATTGGTCATTTTAAAATGATTTATTTTACAGTTAAATAAAAACTTAGTGAACTTATCCTTTCCCCTGCTTAATTTATCTTATGAACTTTCCCTTTGAATATGGACAGCAGTTTAAGTAGTTTCAGAGTTACAATACAAAATTGAACTACACTCTGGACACAGGCCAGTGCCAGTCTCATAGGCATGCACACTATTGCAATAAACATTCCAGAGCTAAGGTAAATAAATCTGACAGAAGGTACAAAACAGTTCAATTTCCTAGTAATAAATTAGAAAATGGACAAAATGTTACTCATATATGATATCAGTCTTCTATGTCCAGGGGGCATCATAAAAACATGTCTCTATGGAATTTTCCATTCACCATAAAGTAACACTACTGACAGATACTAATGCTGAAGCAAATGCTGTCTTTAAGAAGCAGACGGCACTCATTTGTCACTGTTTATCACCCAGTGCCCAGTGGTCCACTATTCCTTTCTATCTACTCAATTAAATTTATTATTGCCCTTAGATCTGATGGAACCGATCATGAAATATTCCCATAAAGTCCTGTATGTCCATATATCACTGGTACTAGGCCTTTATATAGTGTAGCAGATACATCTATTATAGTCAATGTCTATAAAATATGACTTTCTCATTTCAATTGTACATAAATCAAAATGCAAGAAAAAAAGTTCAAGAAAAACATGCCTTTTAACCTTTTAATGGATTATTCCTGTTTTGAATAGCTTGTATTTTTGGAAGGGTCTTTTATTAATTTTGGGGAAATCAAGATAAAAATTCAACCAGTTTTAACAGTGTAGCCCTTGGTTTGACTGCAGGGATGTGCAGACGGGCAGATCTGGCTCTATACTGATCACTAACAGTTTTAGCAGGGTTGGGCAATACCCTAGTAACTTTTCTTTATTTCACTTTTATAGTATTAGCACTTTAGCTTTACTTTCAACATATATACACCTAATAGTAAAATTTTCTTTTTCATTTTTCAATCAATATAAATACTAATTTAATCTAAAATGAAATATTCTTAGAGAGAAGAAAGAAAGATTTTCTAACTGAAAGTGGGTTATAATAAAAGGAAAAATTAAAATATCACAATAAACTATTTATTTTAAAAGGAATAAGAATAATTTTTATATTCTAAGTTCTAAAAAGAAAACATTATTGTGTGTAAATCAAACAAAACTTCTAATCAGTTGTGATTCTATGTTGTAGAAATGCACAACCCTAATATTAGTGATGTTGTGTAAAACCAGAAAATTTTCAACTTTTGGGTGCATTATTTATTTTGTGAGACCAAAAAAATAGTCAGTGCTTTAACATTCAAAATATGGTAAGTAGTTAAGCAATCTTACAAGTATTTGGGAGACAAAGTAATGAATAGTGTCTTCTCTATTAGACATGACATAAATCACAGAAGCAGTCTACCAAAGTTTGGAATAAGTGAGAACCAGTCAATAGAAATCCCAGAATTCATACCTGGACTTCCTCTCCTGCAGAATGGCAATAACTGATGCAACAATACAGGGGAAGAAACTAATGGTGCTCACATGCTTAAAACTTCCTTCCATTCTCCTGAAGAGAGACAGAAAAGTAAGTCACTAAATATAAAACATTATCACCAGTCACTATAAAGGCCTTTTTGAGAAAGACAGAAGATCCTAAATAAAAGGAAGGGATATGTACAGATCCTGCACTAGAAAAGCCATGCTCTACTACAAGACCTATATACATAACCTGGAAATAAACAAACAGAAGTGAACAATTTTTTTTTCTCAGAAAACCCATGCATAAAAACCATTGACAATGTAACCTAAATTGCAAAAAGAGGTAAGTTATTCAAAAAGTAAGGAACTATGAACCATTCACTGAACAATGGTTGATATATATATGTATATATACTATTATACACTGCTTTTACCATACTGTATTACTGTCACAATAGAGCCAAAAATAGCACAGAGACATCTTGATCTTAACCATCTTAAACCAATAAGCAACCCAACATATACATGTACATAAATTAACCATGATCCAAACTGACTGCAAAATCTTCCATTATGCCAATTACTAAGTCTATCCTAACATGCAAACAAAGGTAAACACCCAAACATGCCATCCTACAGGACAAGGTCAGAATTTCTTTTAACCCACACTGATATTCCAAAATACATACAAATATTCTCCATGAATGAACAACCATTGTAGTGAGAAAGAAACAAACCAACACTAGGCTGCTCTCTAAAAATTCAGAAACCCTGCCAAAACCATGCAAAGTGCAAGATGATCATTGCAACACCTCTTGAAAGTTCTTACATTTCCATAACTTGCATCAAAGATACAATGTACTGATTAATAAAAGATATCAAAGATACAGATAAATAAAAAGATGTAAAAGATATACTTGTAAAATCACAACAAGAAAGGTATCTTTATGAATAGCTACTACAAGCACAGATAGAAAATAACAAACTGTTATAGGTGATATGCTTCTGAAATATGGGGACACAAGTGAAAAATGTAAAACTACAGTTAAAGCTAGATTTTAAGGTAGAAGTGAACCATTCTTTGAGCTCATTATACCTTATGCAAACAGTTTTTCTAATAAAATATTTCATATTAATAATTATCTTATTGAAACCTACGATGCCAAAAGGCTTGAAAATCATAATCTGGGTTGAGACAGTGCATAATGCATACTAATTAAAGCTGAATATTTTTTCAATACTTTGTCGTTTAAAAAGTTGTAAATGATTGGTAAGATAAATAGTACCAAACAAAAAAGATTTTCTTTGTATCAATAATAGAAATATGTAGAAGGTGTCTTAGAGCTCAAGAAAATTTCACATACATACACAGAAAAAAAGACTAAAGGTAGGAAAGCCAGAACTCAGCTGATAACTTATCTAAAACACACTACCTCTCTTTCCTTTCTATGCAAAGAGAAATTCCAGAGGCAGGTGCCCCTACAACTATTGCACAAGGGTAAAAATAAAACCCTGTTATTTTCCTGAAAACAAAGTTCAAAAATACATGCAAAAATAACAAAATGAAAAAATAAAACAAACTTGTATTATGGAAGTTAAAAAAAGATTTAGTTTCAGTTCAATCACTGCAATGTTACATGAATTTAATTAACTTGGAAAAAAATTAATTTGACATAAAACATGCATTTCACAGTTATTTTTATAACTACATGTATTTAAGATTGAATTTAATTTAATTGAATATGGTATACTTTTGAACTACATCAATAATATGTTCTTTAATAATGTAGTCTAATGAAGTTCAATAGTGAAAAACGAAAATAAAATTATCATGGTGGCCTTTATTTGCTCACCACAACAAATAATGCCAAACTACTACTAATGTCTACTATATAAGACCTTTCAAATTGGGAAATTTTATCATAAGAAAATTTTGAAAATAAAATTAGCCTTTAAATTTCAAAAATAATACACATACTAAATGGTGTTTAACAGGAAAAGCCATATACAGTACTGGTACATGTAAATAAATTACTAAAATTGCTGAGCTGGTTATGGGGAGATCAACACAATTTTCGTGTAGTTGGGAAATTTTCAAAAGTCAAGTCAGATGGGACCTTTAATGGGTCTAATTTACTGCAAAAAAAACAAATCACTGAATAATAGTTGTTGTAAGTAAGGTTTAAAAAAGATAAATTCTTAAAATTAAGAAACTTGAATTATGGCCTTATAATCAGATCTTCCATAGCTGATTTAATTCAAAGGTGTTTTTTACAAACAGGTCTGACTGTCAATTTATCAGTACAATAAAGCTTGTAACAGTTCTTTTTTAACTACTGATAAATATTGGTGCAAACAAATCAGATTCAAGTTACCTCCATAAACAGAAGCATGTTATGAACAATGTGCCATTGGTTGTCAAGAAAAATGAAGACTGTAACAATTCTAGCCAGAATTTCTTCCTAAAATAAGCTTTGCCACGGCGTCGCACCAAGCCTGCAATCTAAAACAAAAATTCATAATAAATAAACATTAACTGAAATGGATTTTAACTTAAAAGAATGGCCAAAAGGAAAGAATGACAAAAACAATTCTGATTTTTAATTACATACATTATGTTTATTACAGAAATAAGATATTTAAATAGAATTCCATTGACTTATGCAGCAACTTTTAGCAAATATTGCTTTATCTGCTATTAAAACAGACCTAGTACTTTGATTTTTCATGTACTATTTGTATGTATAGATATTGAAGAAAAAGCTCATGTGATATAAATATAAGCATAGTTAAATACATACATGTATAATTATGTAGTTAATAAATAAATATATGTCTACTATAGTTTAATATCAGTATAATTCAATCCACACACAAGTACATATATTAATGTGTATCATTGAAACACACCAGACAGCATTTCCTCACAAGGTTCAACATATAAATAAAAGTATAAATCGTAATTTTTTATTTATATAATCATCCCTACCGTTCCCAGATGACACCAGACAGACCAAATAAATAAAGGACACACAATCATGACATTCTGGCTATTCCATTGTTCCTTACGGTCATTTATGAGAGAATAATCATATATTATGTATAGCTATTTTTTCTCTGCAAGACCACAAGTATATCAACCTTTGTTTAAACAGACTGACAGACAGACGGCAAAACGACAGAAGGCATGTAAGTAATGCCAAACTAAAATATGAGTTGTCTGATGCCAAAGGGGATTAACTGTAATATATAATGAATTTAGTTAGTTCCCCTTGGCATGACTTGTAATATAGTTACAATTTCAGACATGCAAAAAAATCATCTATGCGGAGAATTGAAACAATAATATTAGACGTATAGTACGGAAATTAGTATGAATATACAAAATTCCAAAATTCCCTCCAATATCAATGAATAACAAAATTGCTGTACTGTGCATAAATATAATCAACAAGGGAAGTCTTTTATCAAAATATATCTTTAACTGAACAAAAACAAATTTTCATCCGGAATCCAGTGAGTCAGAGACACTTTGACCAAGTGAATCATACAAAGATCATCAGTAGGTCGTGGAAAACTAAATCACAAGATGAACTGGGGGGGGGGGGGATGCTGATTTACAGTTTTCCAATTTTCCACTTCAAAGACAACTTTGACATGCAATTTGACAGATGAAAAGCTATCTTTATACACAATACAGAAGTCACTTCATGTTACAAAATAAAGTTTTGAAGATCTTCCTCAAATATCTCCATACATCATGGATTTTTTTACAGAAGTTTCAGCGTAAATCAAACTCAGTAAAAGAATCGGTTAATATTTTCTGGGAAGATATCATGAAAGTCTCTGGGAGAAATTTACTGCCTAAATGTAATAATGTTAAAGGTTTACAATAAATCAAGTGACATTTCATTAACTTGTACTGAATAAATCATTAAGAGCTTAAACCAAGAGCAGCATTGGCTATTTTTTCTAGTTTACTGGGAATTTTTCCCTCTATTTCAAATGTCCCACTGTCAGACCATTTAGCTATATAAATAATCCCTAATTTAAAGCCAAATTATTTTCCAAAAAAATAAAAAGTACATAACTGATATGATCTTAAAAAACAATCAACAAACTTATATAATATACTAAGCTTAAAATCCATATCTGTATATATGATTAATAACATATGCATGTAAGTAAAATAGATTATCACAGTGATCATCGTTTTACATCATACTTGTCAAATGTTTTCCAGAATTTTTGTTTTGCTGATAACATTTATCAAAGTTCTTCTTATGCTTTTTCAAAAATAATATTTTACAAAAAAGCAGAATAGGGCCTTGTCATATTATCATATCATATTATCATATTTATCAATAAAACTTAATATATCCAGTTTTAGAAATTTTCATATTTCAACATCCATAGTACATGTATTATATTATAGACATTGAAATGTGATTGTCTTTCCAAAACAGCGTTGCGAGAAGTGTTACTCTGAGATAAATGTTGCTGCAAACATATATTTAAGCATTTGGCCAATTACCCAAATTTCTACAAAGTCCACAACAAGACAGCCCTGCCAGTAAGGGCCCTGAATCTTCAACAGGTTCACAACAAGGTAGCCCTGTCAGTCAGGGCCCTGAATCTACAAAAGGTTCACAACAAGACAGCCCTGCCAGTAAGGGCCCTGAATCTTCAACAGGTTCACAACAAGGTACATGTAGCCCTGCCAGTAAGGGCCCTGAAACTTCAACAGGTTCACAACAAGACAGCCCTGCCAGTGAGGGCCCTGAATCTTCAACAGGTTCACAACAAGGTAGCCCTGTCAGTCAGGGCACTGAGTCTTCAAACGGTTCACAACAAGACAGCCCTGCCTGTAAGGGCCCTGAATCTACAAAAGGTTCACAACAAGGTACATGTAGCCCTGCCAGTAATGGAAGGTTCACAACAAGACAGCCCTGCCAGTAATGGAAGGTTCACAACAAGACAGCCCTGTCAGTAAGGGCCCTGAATCTTCAAAAGGTTCACAACAAGGAAGCCCTGCCAGTAAGGGCCCTGAATCTTCTAAAGGTTCACAAAATGACAGCCCTGCCAGTGAGGGCACTAGATCTCCAAAAGGTTCACAACAAGACAGTCCTGCCAGGGGGTGCACAAGATCTCAACAAGAGCTGTCAAGCAAGTGATGAATGCCCCAGAAAAGGTTTCTTAAGTACATGATATTGTGAAAAGAAAAGGGAATGAAAGTAACTACTTGTTTAATATTGTTCTTGTGAAATGAAGTGCTATTTATAGCAAACTTAACACCTTGGGACAAGGGTCTTGGATGTGACACAGCATCTTGATGTGGTAGACATTAATGCCAAGTAATTTTAAAATCCTTCAATGCATGACAATGTTACAGTTTGGAAACTAATGTGTACCTTCAAACTCTTCTTATGAGCATAAGTACCTTCAAACTATTAGTGTGACCTTGACCTTGGAGGTTGGAACATGGGTCTTACACACAACACATCATCTTGATGTGGTAGGCATTTGTGCCAAGTTATTTTAAAATCCTTCGATGCATGACAAAGTTATTGTCCAGACACAAATGTGTGCACCTATAATCTCTAATTGTGTTAATGTGAACCTTCACAATATAAGTGTGACCTTGATCTTTGAAAAGGGAAGTGGTTCTTGAATGCAACACAACATTGTCATGTGATAGACATTTGTGCATACATATTTCAAAATCCCTCAATGCAGGATAAAGTTACAGTCTGGACATGATTGTTGTGTAAGTTGGGACAGTCAGAAGGACATGACTGTAGCAACGACACATCATCTTGATGTGGTAGATATTTGTGCCAAGTTATTTCAAAATCCTTACATGCATGACAAAGTTACAGTCCAGAAATGAATGTGTATCTACATTTCTTGAGAGAATGAGTACCTTCAAACTATAAGTGTGACCTTGATCTTGAAGGTAGGGACAGGGTTCTTGAACGCAAGATGTTAATGTGGTTGACATAGATGCATAGTTATTTTAAAATTCTTCAATGCATGACAAAGTTACAGTCTGGACACCAATGTGTGTAACTATGAACTCTAATTGTGATAAAGTGAACTTCAAAATGGTAGTGTGACCTTGATCTTTGAGGTAGGTACCAGTGTAAGAAATTAGGATTTGAATTGACTAGACTGGTCGGACTACCAGATTGGAATATTTACTTGCCCAAAAGGCATTTTACTAGACTGATTTATTTGTTCAAAACAGTTGTTTATATTGCCTCTCAAAATGCAGTAGCCTGGTCGGGCTTGTTACTGTGAAAAGTTGGTAGCCCGAGGAGAAATTTAGTAGTCAGGGGCTATAGGACTACTGCTAATTTCGAACACTGAGGTACGTGATTCTTAGACGCGACACATAGTCTTGATGTGGTAGACATTTATGCCAAGTTATTCTAAAAATTTTCGATGCATGACAAAGTTAGAGTCTGGACATAAATGTGTGTACCGATAAACTCTTATTGTGATAAAGTGAAACTTCAAAATGTTAGTGTGACCTTGACCTTTGAGGTAAGGACGTGATTCTTGAAAACAACACATCGACTATATGTGGTAGACATTTATGCCAAGTCATAGTAAAATCCTTTGATGCATGACATAGTTACAGCCCAGACACGATTTTGTGTACCTATTAACTCTAATTGTGATAATGTGAACTTCAAAATGGTAGTGTGACCTTGACCTTTGAGGTAGGGAAATAATTTTTCAACACAACACATCGGCTTATGTTGGTAGACATTTATGCCAAGTTTTTTTGAAATCCTTCGATGCATGACAAAGTTACAGTCCGGACACAAATGTGTGTACCTATTTACTCTATTTGTCATAATGTGAAACTTCAAAATGTTAGTGTGACCTTGACCTTTGAGATAGGGACATAGTTCTTGGATGTGACACACTGTCTTCATGTGGTAGACATTTGAGCCATGCTATTTAAAAATCCCTCAATGTATGACAAAGTTACAGTCCGGATGCGAATGAAGTGGAAAAGCAGAGACAGACCGACGGTGTGATTTTAATATGCCTCCCTTCGGGGCATAAATAGGTTTGTTACAGACTATGCTCATGGTGTTATGTCATTTTTTTATATTTTTTTTTGATGTCACAAATACAATTTACATTTAAGAAAGTTTGTTTTTTGCTATTTTTTTTTCTCACCGACTATCTATAGAAATTGAACTTATAAGAGTTCAAGCTAGCCATAATGATATGAAAAGAAGTGACACAAAATGGAGACGATAAGAAGAAAAAATAATTGAGGGTATCGATATGCAAAATTCTGTATTGATATTGTATCGAATGGTAAATACTGATGATACATCGAAATTACGATATTCAATGACAGCCCTAGCTCAAACCCTGTAAAGGTCATATGGCAACTTTACAAGTAGAGGAAGACCTCAAGTGTCCCTTTGTGCATTATTTCAAGCATGTACTGGCACCTCAGTAGAACCACCAACATTCCATAAGCTTAGTAGCTGGATAGCTTCCTCACATGAAAGAATCAAGTCACTTGTGGAATTTGACCCACAGTATTAAATGGCAGGCATTTGGTTTAAAGTCATAACCAGTAAACCACTCAGCTAAGAATCCCCTAAATGAGATGAAACACATAAGTTTTTGGTTTCAAACTGAGTTTAATTTTTTATGCTCCATTCAATTTTGTGATAGATGCCAGACATGAAGACAGAGGCTAACAGGCTAATGGACAACACCAAATCTATATCCCATCTTCTTTAATAGGGAATATAATATATATACATGTATTTGATATTTTTATAAATTACATGTATAGAAATAGGGGCACAATTGAATTGTTTATTAAATTCAATGTATATTTTTACCATTACCAATTTGTAGACAAATGCTAAACTGGAAATATACTAGACCTGAACTAGAAATGTGTCCATAGGACACGGGTGCCACCCAAAGCGCCACTGTTCTGTCAATCTTATGACTTTAGCCAGTCTATGTCAAATATTTTTTGAAAACTAAAAACTTTTACTAAGTAAAGGGCAAGAACTTTACAAATACTGAATAAATCCACAAGCAAATCCCAAGGTGCATAAGTACACATGCTGACCAACATTCTTGTAAACTTTCAGGCCTACAAGTGAAATACTTTTTGAGCTATGCATGAACAAGTTGAAAATTGCATATTTATACTACTGTTAGTCAAGGGCAATAACTCTAACAAAACTGAAAAAAATTCACATGCAAAGTCCCAGGTTCATAGCTTCACATTGATGTGAATCATTATTCCTGTAATTTAGTGATGTTGATCATTATTCCTGTAAAGTTGGTTGACTCTAACTCAAGCACTCAAGGAACAAATACATTTTGTAACAACACAATGAAACGGTTTTTACTAAGTCAAGGGAAATAACTCTACAAATACTGGATAAATCCACAAGTGAAACCCCAGGTGCAAAACTAAATATGCTGAGCAACCTTCCCGTAAGGTTTAATGACTCTATGTCAAATCCTTTTTGAGTTACATGCGACACAAGTTGAAAATTGCAAAAATTTTCTAAGTCAAGGGCAATAACTCTAAAAATACTAAATAAACCCAGACGAAAATACCCAGGTGCACAACTGCACATGCTGATCAACATTCCTGTAAAGTTTCATGACTCTAGGTCAAATCCTTTTTGAGTTACATGCGACACAAGTTGAAAATTGCAAAATTTTACTAAGTCAAGGGCAATAACTCTAAAAATACTAAAAATATCCAGACGAAAATACCCAGGTGCACAACTACACATGCTGATCAACATTCCTGTAAAGTTTCATGACTCTAGGTCAAATACTTTTTGAGTTACTTGCGACACAAAAGAGAACGAACGGAAGGAAGGACGGACGTTCTAGCAGGAGAGTAATAATGTGGCTACTCTATTGTTCTCTCTATTGTTCTTTTTAGCCACACAAAAGAAAATAGCCACATAAAAGCATTACGGAATGAATGACATCAAAGAGAAAGACCAGTTACCTATTGTCCCTGCAGCCACATAATTACTGTCCTGTGAGTGCGGACGGACGGATGGACGGACAAGGGTAAATCTAAATGCCCGCCACTAAAGTGGGGGCACAATAACATGTTACATGTGAAAGTTGAAAAAAAACAAGGATTCTGTTAAGACATACATATGCCATACTGTTCAGTACATTCTAGATTAAACTGCTGTCCTGTAAAATGGGTCTGTCCGAGAAATGTTTCAAAACCTAATATACTTGTTCCACCTATTGTGCACAAATACAAAAAAAGAAATATAGCTGCATCAATTAATTGGTAAATCAAATTATGAATATGGTTGACATGCAGGTCAATTTGTTTGTTTTCTTTCATTCATGAAGTATTATGCAGGATTTTTATGCACATCAACATATAGTTTTTAAAAGTGGACAAAGAGAAGTGTAGGGCATCAGACTCCTTTTCCAGAGGTTATGGGGTCGAATTCTGTCAGTGGTTAATTTCTATTTTGACTTCAACATCCCATACTGGTGTGACTGCTGCTTATGGCACCCTTGAATTGAAGCTGTCAGCTGGCATGAAATTAAGCAAACGTCAATCCAGGAAGTCACTGTATTTAGTTTGGAACATCATTGAGCAAAAGTTAATTATTGATTTTAAGATTTGTTGGGTTTTTAATTTTGTATCTGTATAATACTGTAGAATGCAGTGGTTGCTCGAAAGCTCTGGGCTTAGATCAAAACTGCTACAAAGACATTGAGAGTGAATAACTTCAATAAGCGAAAATAATGCTAAGGCTTATGACTATATGGGGAAGTCAAAGGCCGGGACCACAAAGCAGGCCAGGGCTTTGGGTTGCCTGGCTATAGACTACACGTGTATATGCAAAAGGAAATTAAATAAAAAACAGTTTAAGAATATAGAATTCTATACCGATCGATGAAACTTTCAGTGTAAGTTCTAGCTGGGCGCTGCTATTTTCACTGTGACTCAATGATAATAGGGAGGGTATTCCAATAATTGAAAAGCCGCAACTTTTCGGATTAATAATAATTGTCAAGTGTTCCGAGTGAAAACGGAAGCGTTGCATGAATATCTAGATCTAATGACACATCTATAATGGAGAAATTACAAATTTTTAACCGATTCCCCCGTGCAAAGGCTTTGCCTAAGTTCATATTAAAGTGTGAAACAAAAAAATGCATGTCTCTTTGTACCTGTTGTACAGTAACCAGTGGTAACTGGCTCTCACCATGTAGGGGAGACTGGGGCACTCTGGGACAAAAATCATAATTTTCAATCTCCAACTTAACATATCTTAAGGATTGATGCTTTCTTTTGTGGATGAAAAGGACAATATGTACTGGATGTAGCAGATAACTAACTGAACCTAAAATAATTAAGTTGACTTGGAGATATACATTAGAATACGGTCATTAAAATGTCCCAGAGTACCCCGAGCTAGGGGCACTCTGGGACACCATATATGGTACAGTGGGACATGCTTGGGTACGTAGGACAAAATGTATTATTTCATTGAAACTAAAAAATTACTGGAAATGAGAATCTGCGGTTGTTTCAAAAATCTAAATTTTTCCAGTGCATGTTAAATGTGGAATTCTGCTTAAGCCGGTTGGGGCGGGGGAGGGGGTGGTTAATTGTACTTTCCATTACTGTTTATGAACAGGCTCATGCAATCAAACTGAGCCTGCAACATTTTCAATGTTGCTCTCATGTCTGTAGGAATTCTGTTGTAATTTCTCTATTTTTATTTCAATTCAGATAGGTGCGTATAGTCACACTTGTTTTGTCCAAGCATGAATCATTTCCAAAAATGAATGACAAAGTTAGGAAAATATAATCTAAATTCATTCATTTGATGTTCATTGTCATTTAAAGGTCAAGAACAAATCTAAATTATTCCATATGTTTCTTTGATCACAAGTGTTGTTTTGTCCAAATATGAATCAAATTCTTCCATAATGACAAAATACGACAATCAAAATTCAATAATATGGCCATGATGGTCGAGGTCATTCAAAGGTCAAGGTCAGTTTATCCTTTCAGAAGTTCTTGTCCAAAATTTTGTTTTGCCAAAACATTAAGATAATTCATTTATTAATTACCAAGTTACAATCAATTATGGCAAAAATCAGTGAAAGTGCAATAATCTAACGGTCAAGGTCATAAAAGATCAAAGGTCAATTTGAGTTTGATACACATGAAAGTCTAACCCAAAAGAGTGTTGTCCCAGAGTACCCCGACCACCCCCACCATTTTTATGTGACAATAATTTAAAAAGACAACCAAACCAAGATTTATTTCAAATCAGAAAATAAAGGCAATGTTTAGCACATTATCATTTACTAATATGATACAAATAAGTATTCAATGTAGAAGAATTTGAAAGCTATATAGGAATTTTCTAGAATTTCACTTTGGAAGGTAAAAAGTGCATTGTACTAGCCAGACTGATTTTTACTCAATTTGCTGCTATGAAACTTTTGAAGGGATAAAGGCTTGACAAGATCAATCATCTGCATAAATCAGGTTTAAATCAAAGAACAAAAGCTATCAAAAAATCCCATTGTCCCGCAGTGCCCCATGTCCCAGAGTACCCCAGTCTCCCCTAGTCATTGACGCAAACTTTTTCTGATATGCAAATTTAGTGGGTGACTAAAAGGGAACACTGAGATAGTCTCTCAATGAAAACTGAACAGTTAAATAAAAGACTTTCATTTGGACTTGAAATCTAGCGATAATATGGTACCTAAAAGCTATTTGAATACCCCACCCACCTTTTTAGCAGTATCTGTTTTTAAGAAGTGAATGTAAAAGTACTATACATACAAAATAAACCGATCCATAGATTTTCAAAGCTTCTTTGAAAACCAAAAGGAAAACGTCAAAGGATGCCTTTTTGCATGACGGGGTCCATGTATGCCCTAATTCGTAACAAGTGTAATCTAACAAAATAGGTTTGCTTATCACCACCATTTTGTCCTCCACCCGCATGCGCGATCTTAATTTATCCAATCACATTCACAGCTTTAAACAAGTGCGCTCCTACTCCGGAAATGGAAACTAATGTAAACAAACAAATACACGTGTTCATTGTATGACCTAGATAGACTTTGGTCGACCTAGAAAGATTATCTATAATAGTTTTACGGTAACCTAGTCGCATATTCGCCTACTTTGTAATTGTATATACATAAACTTAAGTTCTAATTCCGATTACGCGAATATTTATTTACTTTGCGCTGCAACAATAAACGAGTACGTTCTTATTATAGAGAAATTTAATAAAAGAAATCGCTTAAAGTGAAGATCAATTAATTATGCTTTGGTCACAGTTTAAAAAACATCAGAATGTTTGGTAATGAGGTAATAGGAATCTCTTGTTTTTCCTCAAAAGAAATCATGTGATTTAAATACAGAATGACTTAAGGTATAGCGTATGTACATCACCATTTCCTCAAACTCACAATCTCTGCAGGAAAAAGAAAAAGGATGCAACATGGAATTTAATACAATAAAAATATCAACAACAGGATATAACAACAATATTCTCTCAGGCCAAAGTTTATATTAATTAACATCAATTCTTAAACTTTTCTGCAGATTTAGATTTTAAGAATTACATTTAGCTCTGATCCAAGCAAAACCCTTAGATTTATCAAAAGAAATATGGACATAAAAAATCCTTAGTCCAACCCAGTCGGAGTGTGCCTCCACTGTTTGGAGCTCTTTACCATAAAAATGGAGCGGGATACGATTATTCCCCATTGTCACCGGAAATAACCATGCAAAGATGATAATCGCTGAAATTCTCTTGAACATCTATGGCTAGATTTTAGACTTTTTATGACCACAACCTACCTCCTTATAAAACTCCATAAATGCTTACTAGACATACGACCTATTCTCTTAGAAAAATACAAGCCACGTCAGATTGCCACAAGTTCTTGCCGCATTGAAATCTTGATCATTTTCAATTTTTCAACTGTCTTAAACCATTTACTTACATTCCGAAATGCACAGTACCGGCCTATAACAGTCCCTGGAGGAGATGACAGTATTCACCGATAGATAGATATTTTTTATATAGAATAACACTCAGCATTTTTTTTAAATGTTCATTTGTTGAATATACAGTTCACTTTTGAACAATTCACATTTAAAATATTGCTTGCGCACCTTGTGCCTGTACCATTAAAATAGCAAGGTCTTCGCCCACAAGAGATTTAGAATTTATTTTACGATAATTAATGATATAACTATAATCTAACAATTATTTATGCTAAGACCAAGTTTTTATTTTGTAAATTTGTAATAGGAAATGTTACAGATATTTAAAAGACATAGGTAATCTAGAATGTATATAGTAATGTATGAAGAATATTTAAAAAGTAAAGGACTTTTATTGTGTTTTAAGTCATGTCGACACTGTTTAAGTCATATAACAACTCGTCGTATTTACTAGGGAAGACCTCGTGTGTTTTCAGGTTATGCGGCCACAATGAACTGGATAAGTTCCTTACGTGAAAGTATACAAAAGTGCCACGTTGTTGGCCTTGTTTGACTTCTTATATAATACGCTTATTCAGTTATATTAGAAAGTATTTTTTGTAAACGAGGTAAATTTTTGAAACAGGTTGAACATATTTTTTTTTATATTTTCCCTGTTAGCATTTTACAGACGCTCACAAAACATGCCTATGAAACATTATTAGCTTGTTATTTAAGAAATGCAATCACAAAAAAGAAGAAAAAAAGTCATTGACTTCTCGACCATCTTTTAGATAAAATAACGTCATTTTTGTTCTTTCATAACGGTAAATATTCACGTTAACTCTTATATCGTGGATATAAAATACTCAAGACTGATAATTACAAGTGGACCACATGAATACATAATGTAACTGTATGAGGATGCCTATCGACATTTTCCTTGTTAAAGTGTCATCAAATTGTCAGCGACCAATTCATGTAAATTATGACATATCGAAGGAGGTCTAAGTCAATAAATCATAAAAAGGTAAGAGTCATCTGTCGTTCTTTTTAAAGATAGCGTGGATTGAAATATAGCGTCAATGGTACTCGAAGTCACCACGTATCTACGGCAAGTAAATGTCTCAAAACAGAAATGTTAGTTTGTCCACATTGAGATTTACATTATTACAATGCCATGGGTGTCATGGCGCATATAGTCGTAGTTATTAATGCCATAGAACTTCTGTCCTAGGTATGGTATCTGTGTTGATCTTAATTCGGAGCCATGCTCTAAAATATAATAATAATAAGACTACACGAAACGGAAATATCCCCATGTTTATACTTGATAAAAGGACGCCGACCAGAATAGTACTTTAGGCGAAGTTGAATTGGTAGAACCATGGCGACTGTAATTCTGAAGCACCACAGCATACGAAAACATGGTATTTGAAATACATAACCTTTTGATTGCTAAATCCTTTCCGTCAATTTTGAACGTTTTACTGAAAGAAACAAATCAACAATGTAGCGTACTTATAAGTTATGGGGCTATATTTTATCAAAACATATGTTATTGTTAATTGTCCGTGGTGACTTGTTGAGTAAATATGACCATGATGTCAGCACGTTTTATAATAACTTCTGTCTACTCAACTCAGTCTATCACAACGTGTTCTCTATCAAAACACATTTTAAACTGTGATTAAAAGTTTAAATTAATGCTATAAGCTTCCAAATCATGTTTCTGCTTGTTTGTTTTGCTTAATCATTTTCTTTATTAATTTTCTTTCTTTCTTTATTTATTTATTTTTCCTTTTTTTGGATAAACTAAAGTTGCAAAAATCGAATATGTGAGCGTTTTTTACCGACTTGGGCATGTCCCGGATGTTTTGAGTGCTGTTTATAAGCTGTATTCAATTCAAATTGATTTACAGCGATAGACGCCGACACATTGCTTAGTAAACAAATGATTATTTCTCTAACACTCAAACTCCGTACTTATGAAATTGATTTATGGTCAGGAATTTGATAACTAAATGCCTGCAAATGGTGAATTGACTGAACAGTTTTATGATTATGTTTAAACTTTGTAGATAATATAATGTTTATTCCGCTTTATAAAGATGTTTGTGACGTAACAAAATGATTAAAATTGCACGTGAATAAACAATCATATACTTTAGTGAGTGAGTGAGTGAGTGAGTGAGTGAGTGAGTGAGTGAGTGAGTGAGTGAATGAGTGAGTGAGTGCAAAATATTTATCATCACGACATTTCCATCTCAGACAACTGTAAAGACTTAGAATTAATCATCTTCACTCAACCCCCCTCACACCTACTTAATCAAAATTTATCAACCCCCCCCCCCTACCCCTACTCATTACAGTCCGGTACAGGGACAGTCGATTGGTAGAATCCATGCTAAATGACTCCACCCTGCGAGTTGAAAATATCCCCTGCTAATTTGGAGCCAAAACAAAACTAACCTACTCAGTGCTTCTCAAATCAGTCCCGGGGGAAAAGAAAGGGGCGTTCCAGATGATGCACCGTTCATTATGTCCATCCCCCAGGATCAAAGTTTCCCTCACAATGATGCGGCGGGATCCTAGCCTTTCTGGATCTTTAACATTAACGCATGACCAAGAAATCCGACCGGAAATGGTACGCCTTGAAATTTTATCAATTAGATTTGCTGTATACAAAGTTGCATTTATACCTGACAGACATCGCCAACATGATAAATTGCAAAGTTTCCACTTTCTGATTTATTAATTATTTCTATAATATTTCATATTATAAAAGGCATCTCATTTGATCACAATGCAAAACGTCAAATTTGAATTTCATGCGTAATTTACGTTTAATGCGAGTTTGCTATTTCATATGGTCTTTTGTTAATTGATTTATAGATGTATTTTAAGTGTCACTTGTCAACATTTTTCATTTATTTTATTGATTAGAAAAGCTCGTATTTCGGCCCCTTTTAAAGCCATCATTTACGCTTACAGAAACAAGCGGGTCGAATAGCTAGGAAGCCAAAAATGGATAAACATTTTATTTGCTCATATTTTCTTTATCCTTTTCTTTTTTATAAACATGCACATCAATTATGGTATCAATAGAATATAAATTTATTGGTTTATACAGAACAAATACAGGTTTTATTTATAAGATAGCTATTAATGAAAAAAAGAACAGTCCAGGTGTTAGTTGTATATATTTACATTAACCCTTTCTAAAATATATATTTCAAATCAAATTATCATATATATTGTCATATATCAATTTAAAAGTATTTAAAATGTTTTAATATCCGTTTTATATGTTATAATTTCCTCACATTACGAGGCGTATCTCGTTACAAAATAACATGAAAATTTTCAACAAGCCGGACAAGCACTAACCACATTAAAGCCTCGGTCTCACTTACTCCCGGCAGAGCCCAGGACCATCCCGGTAAGTTACCGGGATGATCCGGGACGATCCGGGATGAAATTATTGTTGCGGTCACACTTACCCCGGCAGCACTACGGTAGTTCCCTACTAACCACCCAGGATGCGCTCCGGATCATCCAGGCAGAGCCCAGGTGATGCTACGGTTCATGCCGGTGCTTCCCCGGTCGTTCCCGGATGACGCCGGAAGAGCCCCGGTTGACCCAGGCAGAGCCCCGGTCGATCCAGGCAGAGCCCCGGCAGAGCCCAGGACGATCCAGGCAGAGCCCCGGTAGAACCCCGGTGGATTGAAAACGCCCGAAAATGATAACTTTGATAAATAATTTTTATTTAATTTAATATCTATTGTTCCAGAATAGTAATTCATGATGATTTTCTGAAAAATCCTTATGCAATACTGGATAGAAGGGAAATGGGAAGGCTTTTAATACAAACAAGTTCAATCATCACAAATTGTCCTTATTTTTTTGAAATGATCCGGGCTTTGCCGGGGCTCTACCGGGGCTCTACCGGGATCAACCGTAGCTCTACCTTTGTCCTCCGGGGCTCTGCCTGTAGTTACCGGGGCTCTGCCGGCATATACCGGGGCTCTA